TTTGGAGGAAATCAATATTTTGCGATGCATATTGATCACAGAATATAACGTAATTACTATTTAAATTTGTCAAATCATTGGAAATAACGACCTAAATCAAAATGATATCGGTTTACTGGAGGAGAGAAAACTATATGAACCTAAATATTTAGAGCAGAAAATAAGAAAGAACTTGCAGATAGCCTTCGCCTGAAAAAATCTCAACTTTCTATGAAAGTTACTTTATTTTTAGCATCTTACTCGAACTCAAATCAAAAAACTGCCCAACATTTTCAACAAATGCTGCAGCGAAAGATGCACATGATAATGGAATTTAAATCATTCGTTTAATGCACCTGTGAGATGGAAAACTATTCATCAAAAATAGATAATACAATGTGGCTCACTTGCGAATGACGAGAAGCAAGTAAATGGGACAAGTAGATATGCATGTCAGTAGATTTCAATTTATAGAGAGCACATATTTCAATATCGCGCAGAAGCATTCGAGCAAATGCAAGCGACCGCAAGGAACGATCCTTCATTTGACAAACCAATGATTTAAAATGCCTACACGTGATGAATATTTGTGATGCATGTCTGAAGAAGCGTTTTAACTTAGATCCACTCATCATTATTTGAACATTTTTACAGATATCATTTGTTCTTTTAAATAATCCTGGCTAAGATACTGTATGGATAATCTTTATCAAAACAATATGGTCATTACACTGACACTTTATCTCATTATAATGGTTAATAACACAAAATTAAACTCAGATCTTTCTATATTAACAATGACCAGTCTTGCTAACATCAAAGCGATTTATTTTCCTTTCGACTGGATTGCTCAGTGTAGCCTAAAAACCACCGCCATCACATTACCACTAAGTTTCTCATCATGTCTCAAACTACGTAATGTATTTATTTCATTGAAAACTGCTTGAAAAAATTGTAAAAATAATTTATTCAAGAAAAGCATTTCTCACCGCCGCAGTAAAAAATCGTCATTTTCCTGAAGACCATCAGTAGATGCATTCTCAAAAGTACTTCTGCACTCGTTCATCAAATCTTCTTTTTCCGGTAAATAATCATTAACCATTTTACGCATCAAATCACTCGCAATCATGCTATAAGAATATCATGAGAAATTAATTTCAAAAAAAACGAAAGCTATGGTCAAATTGTTCAATAGGAAAATTCAACAGTCAATTACCAAGACCGCTCAGGAACGACACAAGCTGATCGTCAAACATCACTATTTTCAAAGAAATTAAATCATGACACAAATGTTAAAACATCTCTGCTTACTCCCTTAGCCGAATGGGAAAAATTTCGACATTTCTTGAGCCTGCTCAAAGTTTTGGGCATAGACTCACCTAATCAAAGTAATTATCAACGGAAGGATCGAAATTAGATTTTGTTAGAGAATAAAATTTTGACAAAAAAAATCTTTTAGAGAAAAAAGTTACGAAGAATTTACAAACCAAAATCGATGCACTGTTTCACTTTCACCACAAATTACATTTGTGGCAAAACGTCTTGCTACTGTCCACTGTGAAATTAAGTTCTGAATGACTCGTTCAGTCCATTCGGCACCCACTCCTTCAGTACTGACTTCTCCATGTACCCAATCACGAATAGATGTTAAATAACTCTATAAGAAAATTATTCTGATGTCTGGAGAATGTTAAAATAGCAGATTTTCATTAAATCGATTAATAAATTCGAACACTTATATTTTTCTTAAATTTGTAAGCACATACCTTGAAAACCTCGGCTAACTCATCCTCAAACGGTACCAGACAACCGAGTAGTACTTTGTTATCGACACCAGCCAGTTGTACCAATGATACAAATCGATGCTTCACAGCAATTGCAGCCTCAATGCAATCGTGACAGTCTTCCATAACCTAAAAACAATCCTGCGATTAGATGTTGTGCTCGATACGTAGCTTAAATAAAGACTACTAGCAAACGAGTAAGTAGTAATCGCGTGTAAATATTTATCCAGAAAAGATGAATCTGTAATATGTCTCTTATCGCTAAAATTCATAATATTCAGCAAAACAATGCAAAAAGTAATTAAATTTATATTAATAATTTCTTGAAAAATTTAAATGATTTATAACAAGCTAAATATGAGTTTAGACAATAAGATCAGAACAAACAGCCTTCATCTTGTCATGAATCATGAAAGAAATGACTTTCCTTTACGGTATTACAAATAATATAGAGCTCGTTGGATCTGCTAACGGGTGCCTAAATTCTAATCTTCCAGTACAAACAATTTTTAGCCTAGTATTCAATTGATAAAAACGAACCGTCTGTAGAGTTAACAAATCAGATGGGAGCTGTGCAGACCCACGCATTTTTAGCCATTCATGAACAAGATCAAGTGGCACTCGAACTAAAAACAGAAACAAATTCTGGAATGATGGCAATTTCATTGCCAAAAATTCTTGATGATTTGTTAAACTCTGTGGCAAATCTCGTTTCTGCTTTAGCGAAAACTGAAAATAGTCAATAAAATTTGAAAAGAAAAGGGAAAAAAATTGCATTGAACCAAATTCTTACCGTGCTTCTTCATCTAAATATATCTTGGAAGCAAATTTGAATATGCTATGGTCTTTCTCAACCGCTGATGAAGTATGTCATAAAATACTCTAGTATATATCAATCTGACGATTAAGTAATATTTTCTTTTTCGAAATTTTGAGCGAATTCTTTTAGTTGGCTTGAAACGGCTAAATAAAGATGAATAAAAAGTATCTACCTACTGTTTGCTAAAAATGCGATAAAAATTCATTGTTTTCTAATCATTGATGATATAAAAAATTACTTCGTTAAATTTCAAGCAGTGACTAACGTAACACTGAGGAACTGACGCCCGAAAAACCATTAAAACTGGAACGAAAAAAGAAAATCTTGGAAAACAAAAAACACAAAATTATGACAATCTAGAAGAACAAAGATGACTATACCAAAGTATAATCCACAGACCGCTGCTTGTTCCCACTTTCCACCACTTCTGCATAAGTTATTGATGATTTTTCCAACATTGCAATAGCCTTTTTTATAGTTATACAACAAACGCTATCCAAACGTTGCAATACTTTTCGCATACCTTTACGTCGTAAACTGCGTGCTAAAAATATAAAAATTAGATTAAAAAAAGATAATGCAAAGATACCGTTTTATTCAATTTTCAATAAATCTTATTTAAACTAGAACTTTAATTTAAAGTATAGAAATATGTTTCGACTTACAAACAAAAGCACTATATATGTTGTATGGTTGTTTCAGCAATGCAGGTAAATCAGCTGACGTGATTGTATTTGACTGACGTGTTAACAACACATTTTGTGGACTTGAAGCTTGACTTTTTTTGTTTAACTTAAATGACGGTAAAATTTAAAATGAACCATTGATTGTTATGTTCTGGATAATAAAAGATTTTGCAAATGTTCAAAAATTCTCATCTGAATTCACTTTTTAACAGCTTGATTGAAAAACATCAAACAATTTGGAGGATTTCCTTGGCTCATCTTAATAGGACCATGTGTAGTAATGCATTACACTGATTAACAAGCAATTGTAACGAGTACCTATCAAATTTTCGGATATCTAATAAAAATGATTTCATTTCATAAAGAAAAAGCAGACATTTCGTGACGATGTGGGAACTTCCTTTACATCCATGGGACTGTCTAATGATGGCCATAAAAGTCCTGAAGTCGAGTGATTATCGTCAACACCATGATTTAATGTAACATTTGGAGAAAGTGAAATGCGTCGAGTCGAATTACGATCTTTATACATGCCTAGAATCACACCAACCTGCAATTATACTTACCTCTGTAAATTTAACAAAAACAAACAATGCCCATCATTATTACCAAATTTCATAAATAATTTGATCACAAATCGGTTTGACCGCAACACTTGAAACTTTTATGTTTAATTCTGTCTGATACATAGTTAAGAGTTGGAAAATCTACTGCAGTGAATGGTTTTTCCAATCAATGATAACTTTAAAACGTACCTCTCTTATTCTATCATACAAATCAATCGTAATATTATACCAAGCATAAAGAATCAGAATTCTAGTTTTGATCAATTCATCCATATTTGTTGAACGTTCCATATTGTTCATATTAGGATACAGTGCTACGAAATTCTCATAACGTTCTAACATATCCTTGACTGCTTTCAATTCTGCCTTCAGTGATCTCTGATTTAAAATTTCTGCAGATGGTGATATAGGTGGCGAGCACGTTATCTCACTTATATCGTCTAAGCAAAAATTTCGAATCTCTTCCAAGATCAATTTTCGTTTTTCACGCTCAGCTATAAGATATTGATCATGTTCACGAGTTGATTTAATTTGATCACTTTCTAATTTCATTTGCCTGAAACTTGATAATTTATTTAAAGCGCACAACTTAAAAAGTTTTGTCATTTGCATTTAAAGCAAATTAACTTTAACCTGCCAGCAACTACCGCTTGTAGCTGTAACCATAATACATCACTCCATTTGAAACGTTCATTTCTGCGATTGATCAGAAGAACCTTAAAAATAAAGATTTATATGGCCATGAATTAATTTTCCAATCTTTCAAGGCTTTAGGGAAGTTTAAAATGTGCCAAATTTAATGGATATATTTAAAAGCTTGTACTGATGGCTACAACTCCTATCAAAATCAATTTAAAATTTAATAATTACTTAACTCCTCTGATATGCATTAAAAGTTTAACAAATGCACTTTAATTAGTAATCTAATCAGCACTTAAAGAGTATAAATGAAATTAAAAAAAGCACTTTCTGCGAGGATTTTCGCACACTTCCAAAGCATAGTCGATTTAATTTAGCCATAACACTGACACGAAGAAGGCGATATAAACTGCAGTGATACTGATCACGATCATTAGCTGATCGACCTAATTCACAACGCATAATGGCAGTCGATATGGGTGCTGACGGCTGTACCGTAGTATCAGCCAACGGTTGATTCGGCTCCGGTAGGAGACATTGATAAACCTCATCATACTATAAAATAATCATTCTTCCTCTTTTATCATAATGTACCACATTATTCTTTAAAGAAAGCAGTGCCAGTATGCTTAATCAACGTACTATTTCGGAAATCTTCCACTCTTCATTTACTTCTTTATTTTTAATATTCATATTTCTCAACTCTGCTTATTAAATTTAATCAGTAAAACCAACATTTATCTCTGAATCTTCCATAAATGAGAGATAAGAATTAAATCATGGTATTTTAATATCCATTTACAAAGTTACGAATAGCTTGGAAGTGCAGTTTCTTCCCTAAATTCGGTTCCCAATTTTTTTATGGTATTGAAGTGGTATTAGGCAAGACAATGTCGAAGTATAATAAAATATATTTTTCAAATCTAATTCAGCTATAAAGAAAAATGTCTTAATATCTTAATTCCTGACTACTACACATTAAAAGTAGAAAAAGAAATGCACTGAAACGGATTATTCTGAACCAATAACGATACTAAATTAAAATTGAACGCCCACCACAGTATAATTTTCATGGCGTGAGAATCGTTCTCCTTGTCCGCGAAATGACAGATTTCGCATCCTTACACGATCTTGAATGCTTTCATTATGAACCTTTCCACCTGAGAAAAAAATAACCTTGATTAAAAAGAAAACGATTAAATTTAACAATATTTAAACTTGCAAATATAAATAACACTATTGGAACTAATTAGTAACTAAATTTTGTTTTGTTCAGACTATAACGTCCACCGTATCCTTGCTTTGAATTTGTTCTCCATTTATATTTTGGCAAGTGGCTCTGGTTTACTTCGGGCCTGAAAAATAGTGTAAAATAATTTGATAATTTTACTAGTCTTGTTAATCCACTTCTGAAAATAATGTTCATTATTTTCAGAAGTGGATTAACAAGACTAATAAAATTATCAAATTCATAATCGTACTCTGAAACGAAACGAGTTTCGTTAAAACCAAAGTAGATTTTCTTCTGAGAAATGACATTGTTGAAATGGAATAATTCTTACAAACAAATCTCAATTGTTATGAACCTATGACAGGTCTTTAATCTTAACGAAGCTTCTCACATCATTTGCAGCAAGCATATCACGGCTGGAAAAATGTTAAAGAAGTTTCCAATAAACTAAACAATTTCTAATATTCAGCCGTCAAAGATGCAACAAATAATGATAGCAATCCCACTTTGATGCGATTAACTCTTCCGTCTTTGAAGATGCGTAATTATGCTATGGATATGCGCTTACATAGAGCACTTCCATTTGCAGATCATGCTTACACTGACCGGTATTGTTTAGCTCCTTTTTGACTTCAAGTTTTGCTTTCATATAAAAATGTAAAAAAATTTTAAAAATTTAACAGTGAAGATTTAACTTCACCATGTGCATGAATAAGTTAACTAAACGGCTAGTATCAATATTCCGGCATTTCAATTCATCTATTCGTCAGATTTTCGATGACTTCAAAGAAATCTTATTAAAAACAAGTCTGAAAAAAGGCAAGAAAGGAAAAACACCTGTGTTCTTTACCGGATGCAGTAGCATGAAGTTGCGGTAGACTGTAACTTCGTCTCCTGTGACTGTCACATAATGCATCCAAATTTCCAGTTTGCATTTTCGGAAATAATTTTAATTCACCAAATTACGTAACCGTTGACGGAGAGAAACATAATAAGAAACTAATAAACTAAAATTAGTTTCATTCTGACAATATGATAAATGAGATTAATTCCTGATGTTTCCGTATGGACGAACGCACAAAAACACAAAACATTTTTAGTTTTAATTAAACGATAAATGAATTGATGAACTTACTATGCTCATAAATGAACCTTATATATACAGATATTTCCGTATGTCAGCCAACTATTTTTAACATTTCATAAAAATATTGTAAAGAAAATATCAAATACATCAAACAAATATAAAATTTTAAAAAATGGAAATATTTTCTGAAGTTTTCACGTAACTTTCACATAATTTCATAATTTGACAAGCATAAACAAAAGAAACAAACCACGGAGTGAAAAACGTGAGGGTTCACGAGGGCACGTGAAAAAAGACAAAAGTATCAGACGTGGAAAGAACACACTGACGCTCTCCATACAAGTGAAATTGACGTAAAAAAACTTAAATGTATACTTGGAAGAGAATATGAATTAGGTGGAGGGAAAGAAGAAAAAGACAAATTTGCGAAATAACGTGATAATTAAAGTGTGCCACTGACTGACTGCTAATCCGAACTGGGTAGTCTGATTCTTAAGAGTAATGACAAAAGATTTTCTGGTTTTCCGGAATAAAACATGCATTCCGGTTTTCCGGAATAGGGCATATGTCATTATAACATGGTTAGGTGGTGAAACATAGCTTAGTAAAATGTGAACTGTTTCTGGTTGTATTGATTAGATTATCTAATTTCAACTAAAAAGTTTAACTTAATTAAATTTATCAATACTATTGTTCAAGAACGATCCTTTTTGTTTTTAATCTTTTGCTTTTCATGCTACCTATATCGAATACATAAAAACTTTTTTCGAAAGTTCCACCAATATTAGGTTATTACATTTCATTAAAATTGCTAATTAAGTTTCCGAAAAATCAATTAAATTGATTTCAGTTGAATTAAATTAACTGTGTGAAATTAATCTGGATTGAAATTATATAAAAAAAAGATACAGCTTTATTGTTGTTTCAATTATAAATCTGGTAGATGAAAGTGCAAATGCTGCATTCAAAATTTTATTCAATTCATCGAAGCATCATTTCTCTTCACGCATTTTTCCATGAATTTATTTAAAAGCATACAACGAAGCTATCTTATAAATAGGCGATTTCCAAAATGTTAATGACACTTTCTAGCAGTTCACGGAATTCACGTTTCAAACGGTAAATCTGTGGACTGCTAGAAAGTTTCGTTAACAACGATCATTATCGGTATTCTCGAATTGAATCAATTAAGATAATATATGTGTGTAATTATTATGGAGGAAAAATTAAGATTAAAATAATATGCAAATTTTTTCTAATCCAATCGCATATTTCCGTTATTATTAAAAATTTTAAACTTGTTGCCTACTTTGACTTAATTTTAAAATTATCGTTTACTTTGGTTCTGTTTAATTCTTCATTTTATCTTTCAAATTCTTGATTATATTTGATGATTTAGCTATAGCATCTGGTTCAAATGCTTGCATTTAAGCCAGTTTGAGTAATGAAATTTATCGTCATTCACATCTCTGGATGTTTTCAGTTATTTGCTTTTAAAATTATTGCTTATTTTTCCAAACAGACGAGAAAAACATTAATTGATAGATATATCAATAATGGATGAGTCCACAAAAATGGCATGTGAATAATTTCATGTAATTAGTTGAATTTGTTTGTAAATATTTTCATTTTAATAAATATTTTTTCTATGATTTTTTCATAAAATACATATTGCTCCAGGCATCTTTTTTCTCTTGCAGAATAAGATTTTGAATGCGATAAAAATTTTCGAATGATTTAAAAAATTTCGATTTCATATTAATGTAACTGTTTATTTTCTTATTAATTTCTTATTAATATAAAAATTTTCCTCTTTAAATTTATTGATTGACACAATTATCAGTTGATCTTCCATTCTCTAAATAATTCTGGTATATTTCGTTGTCAACGATAGAAGATGATATTTTAACGATCCAAATTTATGAATTTTTATTATGTTGGTTGCATTTGCTTCCAGGAGAAGCTCTTATTGAAATATATTTTAAATAACTTCAAAATATTATGTAATGATTTTAAGTTTGAATATTTCACAATATATCATTCTTTAATGATTATATTTTTGAAAAAAAAAAAAAAAGATGTACTCATTATAACAACAGTCCTTTCATTCATGTATTTATAAATACAGTCAACTCATTCATGCATTTATCAATCAATACGTTTGAAATTTAACAGCCATCATTAACTCCCGTCGATAATACCGATGAGAAAAAAGAATGATTTTTAATGAAGAAAAAAATTTTGACAGCTAGAGATAATAGTTCCAAACATTGTTATATTATCGTATTCTACATCCTGAACATTACAGTAAACTTGAAGGATGGGTAATTCCAATTAAATAATAGTATTAAGTGAATGATCACTAACAAAGGTGATCGATTAACAACAAAAAAGTATGATAAAGTTGTAATCATTTATAACTCGTAAAAATTGAACTTAACTATAAATAAATAAATAAA